GTAACTTTTGATGCAGTTAATGATCTACAATTCTACATTGTAGAATTGTAGAAATTACGTCATTTCTACATTGCAGAATTGTAGAAATTACGTCATTTCTACAATCGTATGCATGTAGTTACTAAAATTATTCACGATCCCATCTCTAGGTATGTTGCAATTTTTTTTACATAATAAAAGATTAAAATCACATGCATTACATATCATCTATGCATAAATGGTATTTTAAAAAAATTAATCTAATTATTAGTCACGCCGGGTACTAAAGGCAGTGGGTGTAGTACAGTAATAAATAATACACAAATTTTGTTCACTTGAGGTTCAAACTTTTAAAAACAGAAAATTAGTGGAATGACTTGTGCTACATTCCTATGCTAACAGTATCAGGCTGAATATTTAAAAAAATATGGTCTGCTAAACGTAAAAATAATAATTTTATATTTCGGGTAAACAAATTCTATTATGAAAATGTAAAAAATCGAGAAACTGTTTTCACCAGAAAAATGAATGCCTTTTTAAAACATTCAACAAGCATAATGAGAAGCATTACTTATATTTTTTTTAGTCTTTTTTTGCTTTATATTTAATGCAACTTCGAAAAACAAGTTAGATCTCAAATAGAGCATAATTTAAGCAGCATACCAATTGTGTAAACTTTAATGATGCGTACCAAAGATATACAATACGTATCAATATGCAATATTGGTTCATGGTGACAATGTGTCTGGAAGTAGAATAATTAAAATACGCCTGATAAATATGTATACAAGTATTAAACCAAAAGTAACCATACTAATTTTACAAAATGGTGTAATTAATAATTTATCCGACCATGTTAATCTTTATTCAGCCAGGGTCACATTTGACAGCCATTTTATTTGTATAAAGTTAATCGAAGCAAATTTGTACGTATCTCATTTTAAGTATAAGCAAAAATTATCATCAATACGTAATCAATTATTCCTTATCCCTGATGAATACAGTTAATTTTGCTTGCGCAGTATTATCCTTATACTGAATAAGTATATAAAGATTATAATTCATGGCCGAAAAACCAAAACTTTTGCAAAAAAATATTATAATCGTCTTTTAAGTAAGTTAAACGAATTTGCGTTCTCGGTTAATTCGTTATGTAATAATAATAATAATTTTCAATTTTTTTTAACAGTAAGAAACTATTAATTATGTCAAAAGTAATTGTCATATTAAGCTATTATCTCAAAAAAAAAAAAATAATACTGTTTAAAATGAATGTGATTTACTAATTAGTTGTTCAAATTTTGATTAAATAAGCAGGTTGAAGATAATTTGGAAAAAGGTCAAACTTCCGATGAGATAGAAGTAAATCAAGCAAATTCTGAACAAGTCATCCCACAACACCTTCGGAACCTTCATGGTGGTAGTAGTCATTCTTGTGCGAAGACTACGTGTGGAGTTTGTTGTTGTTTAATAATTATAGCAATAGCCATTATTTTAGCATTATATTTTACTGGAAAACTTGTTGCTAAAACCATCAAAAATCACTCATGATGGTATTATAATCAGTGTTGTTTATTGAAGCTTTCAATTCAAACCTTCATTGAAATTGAAATTCCATACATTCTTTTTTTATATTTAATAACCAATCACAATCAAAAAATATTATACTGTTATGCCAGTAAACGGAAAAGGCAAATGTCTTTGCCGTAAAAATCTGGCCTCATAATTACTATCCAATCGATTATAAGATCAATATGTAACATATAAATAAAAATTAGGTTTTGTCATTAAGTAAAAGGTTTAACTCGAAAATTTAAGTTGCATTAATGCAAACATTAATGCAAGATAAAAATTAGCGATAGCATGTGTAGACAGCTTCACCGCTTAGTCTTTAATGAGAATGCTAATTTAAAAACAATGATATTATCTAATTGTAAATATCGAATAAATGAATAACGCTTATATACTTAAAATCCAACATTAATCTTATACATATAATAGTAAATTTGAAATTGTCATTTAAGCATAAATACTAGATAGCTAGCTGCGTGACGTTATTATGAAAACTAGCAATCAAAGACTTAAATAGAAAGCGGCTAATTATTAAATAGATTGGCTATATAAATGGTAAATGATGTCCACCAGCGTGATAGTCATTTTGTACGAAATTGAAATTTTAAAGAAATACGTCTGGGTTAATTTTCTGTACTCCAAAATTTAAAGGGTATTAATCATTTGACGGATAACTAATGATTAATTTCAAATTTCCGAAGATTCACTGAAGGTATGCAATTCTAAGAAAAATATCATATTTCGAATATGTCGGGCACCACACCAATAACTAGCAAGATATTTGTGCACATACGCACTATTTAATTATGCAGATTTCACTGCCACAATTATTAACCATTAAAATGATAGTGAAATCGGGCGAACCGGCGAGCCAGTCGCTCCACAATCCAATTTCGTGTAACCTACGGTTGGCTTAGGCGAAAAGAGGCGTTTAGATTTGGTCGATGGTTTGGGACCGTAGGTAAGTGTTTCTTCTTTACTTGTCTTGGGTTTTTCCTTTCTTAGCTTTCTACTAACTCTATTCTCAATTATCTCACTTCTTCGGGTAATTGAACAACACGTATAACCACAACTATCACACTTCTTCGGATAGTTGGACTCGAATAACCACGGTTGATCCTGGTGCTTTAGGATACAACAACCGGACGTGAAGGTAACAATACTTTGAGATAGGACAGATAATTGCAAGGTGCGGGTTTTTATGGTCTGGGGACTTAGCGATTAGTTAATGTAGCAATGGAGATGTTTATGTATTTATTATTATGTAAGGGACCAGTTATTATTTTAATAAAGCGAAGTTCGGGCTGTCTCTCCCTTAGAGCCCTTTTGGCCTTTATTTATAAGAGAACTTTACTATATACATTTTCTCGTTCTATATTAACTTTGTCTATTATTTCGTGTACTATATTGATTAAGACTACATCAGTGTTCCCTCCCTTACTGACTACCTCACTTACTTCGCCCCTTTGATCAGAAAGAACTTTTCCTATGTTTCGGTTCTTTCTGACGATTCTGACTTTTCTAGCCGGTCATCCTTATTTGGTTAGCCGTGTCACGCGGCACGTGACTTAGCCGGATACGTGGCAATTGAAAATGGCACAGATTAATGAATTGAACGATATATAATTAATCAACCAAATTATATTATTTAAAAATCTCAATTGTATTAACCTAATAAGGAACTACAAGTAGTTTTGTTTTAACTAGCTGACCAAACTCTTCAGACTTATATGTATATTGTAACTTCAAGTTAAAGGTGATTAAAATTACTTGAATTATCTAGTAATGGTTTTATTTAATTAATTAATGCATAATTTTTCAGTTATACTATTTGAATAATGTATTCAATTTTTGTAAATTTGTTGTCATTTCTTAATATTTTAATTAAGTAATGTATTATAAGCAAATGTGAATATACTATTTTTTATAAAAATAAAAAATGATAATAGTTTTAGTAGATTTAGTAAAAAAGTGAAAATTATTTTGTAAATCACATATTATAAAGTAGAAGTTCATAAATAGAACTTTAAAAGTTTGCTTGGTTTTGTTATAAATAATAGCATTAAAATTGGTATTATATTTGAAAAGTAATTATCATATTTCATTTACCAAAGTACTTCAGATCTTTTACAAATATAAATATTTTAAAGTCTAATCTAGGTACTTACATAAGACTTATTGTATAGTAACCAACAAAAGTAATGCTTGATTTGCAGATCATTACATGTAAGCAAATAAAAGGTTGTATATGTCTTATTTTTATAAATTTTGATGTAATTTTTTTTTAGTTTTTGTTTTTAATATTAAAAGAACCAAACATACATCAAAGAATTTTTTTATTATAAAAATGCTATGCAAACAAAGAACTAAAAAAAGAAAAAAATAATTCTTGCTTATATTAATACAATAAGTGTTGAACAAATTGCTTATTAGATTAAGTATAATTTAACAACAGTTTGAAAATTTTTTAAAAAATATAGAAGAATCAAAAAAAATAAGAATTTATTTTAGTTCAGATGTTTTCTTAATTTAAAGAAATAAGAAAAAATTATTATAATAAAAAAAGCATTAAAAAAAAATATATTTTTGCTCAAAATTGTAAAAAATTTAAACCTTTAATGCAGTATTTAAACTAAAGTTAAAACTTTATACAATATTGAGTTTTATTCTTGTGTTGTTGACTTGAAACTTTTTTTATTAAATAGCAATATAGAAAAATATATAGAATTATATTAACTAAAAAAAATAATAATACTTAATATTAAAGATATAAGTAAACTATATCATTAAATTTGATAACATTGTGTAAATGAAAGATATAATATAAGTATTTATAACTAAATCTTAGAACTAAAAAAATCTTAGTAATAATTTGGTTATGTTTTGTTAATAATATCAAAGGTTTTATAATTTTTTTTTGATAATTACAAAGGTTCTAAGCAAAAAATTAATAAAAATATTTATATTAAAATTTTAAATAATCATTTTATACTGTTTATAACTGCAGTTTATTTGTTAAATAGTTTTTATTTAATTTTTTAGCATAATAATACTTTAGTTCATAAGATGTCATATTGGCTTAATTTGAAAATTATTAATTATATAAATTGACTCTTATGATTTCTTAACTTTAATTCTATAAAAAATCTTTAAAAAATTATAAAAAACAATATTCAGAACTATAATGACTTTTTAAAAAATAAATCTAATTTTATAACAGCCTTATAGTAAGTATAATTAAGTTTGAATATATTAATTTTTTATATAATTGCAGATTCAATAATGTAAAAAATTAATATTATTCCAAATATAAAAGATCATTTAGTAAAGTATTAAATAAATATATAAAAAATTTTAATATATATAAGTCAAAATTAAATAAATAAAAATTTTATTTTTTTGATTAAGAATTAGATATTACATTTATTAATCATTGTATATAAGAGGTATATATATTATAAAATATTTAAAATATATATATAGACAAATATTGTATTAAAAATATATATAGTTTTGTATTATATTATAATTTATATTTTGTTATTTTAAATAAAGATTTAAAAATATAAAAAGTTAATATATAACAAATAAATATATAATTAATTTGTATATATTATAATTTATAATAGGTAATATTGCAAATAAATATTTTAAAAAGCCAAGAAAATCTTATCTTTTAAAGTTTATTATTCATAGATTATTAAAAAAAAATTTATACTTTTAAAATATTTTGTAAATAATAATAATAATAATATATATAGAACTGTAAAGTAATTTAATTTAAAACTCAAGCAAATATATAATTAAAAATAAATAATATAATCAATTACTAGCTGCACTATATGTTAAAAAATTTATTTAGAAAAACTAGTTAAATATTCTAATTTGAAAAATAATTTGTTTAATCGAATTAATGCAACAAAAGTTTATAATAATGTAGTTATATATAATATGATTATAAAAAAGTTATGTTTTGTTTCAAAATAAATTTTACTTAAGATATTCTAATATTATCTAGTTTAAATTTTTAAACAAATAATTTAATGTATTTTTTAAGTAATATAATTTTTTTAATAAATACAAAACAATAATATCTTAACATTTTATACAAAATTTAATTAAAAGCAATAGTTTTTTTAAATTATATATTATATTAGCATAGTAAACTTTTATTATAATTGGCTAATTTTTGTAGATTATTTCATTATATTAAAGTATTATTAAATTAATTATTTTCTATTATAAGAGTCACAAAAATTAATTGCAGTTATGAATATGAATTCACAAAGATTATAATATAAATATTTAAAAATTATATCTTCTTTTTTACAAAACAATAAAGTAATTTAGCAATCAGTAAGGTAATTCAAAAGTTGATAAGAGTCACTTTTTAAGTATTCTTTTTTTTTAATATTAATGATGAGGCCATGCCTCTATCTTTATTGAATATTTAATTGAGTTTATATAAAGTACAATTCTGCTTTTAAAATATTATAGAAAGAATAGAAGCTCAGACTAATTTATCTGTAATCTAAA